GCAGGAATTTGGTTCCAGAATGGACCACAAACATCGCTGCTTCAGTTTCACTCAAACTATACAGTCTGGTGGTTCCTCACGTTAAGTTGTTCCGCAGAGGAAAAGACCGATGCCTTAACTGATTTTAAAATTTTTGTTCTCATTTTTTAGGAATGAAAGATTCTTTTTAAGAAATAGGCAGGTTTTTACTTCTTTAATTGTTTTATCTCTGCTTTATTGCCAATAGAAGTACCTTGATAATGGCAAGAAAGGATGAAAATAATAAAGGAGAAAAATTAGAATCTGAAACGGAAAAAAGGAAAAGAAAAAAGAACCCTTTATTAATCTATTTTGTGATGCTTTGTTAACCATAATGTGCAAGTCTGTTGGGCAAAACAAATGATCTGCAATAGGTTACGTCCTGACCTAGCCAGTCAGAAATGACTAGTAACATGTGGCCAGCTTTACAAAATCAGTGTCACATGCAGAGGGCACACTTTTTGTCTTCATAAAGTGACAAGTGATAAGATTTTTGCAGCTGACTAAAATCTACCAGGCCAAATATTACTCTGCAATCTTGAACATCTGTGTAGGTTTAGAAGAAGAGGGTATTTGGGATTTTTATACTTGTCCTTCCATCTGTCTTTCCACTTCTGAAAACTTGCCAGAGTGGTTTTTAGATCGTTAAACAGTTTGGACACAGCTTCCTACCTCACCTGGTCTCCAATAGCAAATTCAATTTCCTCACGCTATATTTTCTAATTTTCAAAGACTTTGCAGAAGTTCAGCCCAAAGAGATACGTAATCTTATTCCAGTGTACAGCTCTCAGGAGGGATGCACCAAGAGGTAAGGACTGGCTAAAACTCCGAGGTCTGTCACTCCCTGCATTACCAGGATCCCAGGCTTGTGCTCTAGTCCTGGCTCTCTGAGCCTTCTCTGCTCGTAGTGATGACGAGAGGAGAATAAAATCCTGGATGCAAATAATAGTCAGTTCCTGCTAACTCTGCTCTGGTGAGGAAGAACAAGAGCATCCCTAAAGGCAATGGTGGCACCAAAAAAATCAGCACTTCTCAACTGTTTGCATTACTCTTATTTTCTCTTGTAAGTGCAGCAAAAAGTGAAATACAAGTTGATAGCCTCTGTTGGCAAATTTAATATCCACTAAGTTGTGCAATTTGTATTTCAGACTCAAATATATTTGGATTTTTTTTCCCCACATTTAAAAAAAAGATGCATTTTGAATATAATCAGCTAAACAAATATGACTGTGGTTAATGTGCTGGTTTTCTCTCACTGATTCTGGTTGTGTATCACTGCAAATCTATGGCATTAGCCAAATAGAAACAGGTTTCTGAAGATCCCAGCAGACTGAGAGACTGCCCCAGAAAGTCACAATATATTTCAGCTAATGGTGAACACATTTGTACTCAGGAACAAACTAGGTGGGACAGAAACTCCTGGCACCTTTTCTACAATCCAAGAGACACAAATAACAGAAAGGTAGGGTCCAACACTTTGTTTTCTGTATAAATCTAGGAATGAATCCAAGCCTCTTGCCACAGCCGAACGATCACGAAGCAGATTAAAGAGCTGTGAGAGGTCACTGAAAAGTTTCAAGCTGCACTTCGGTACGATAAATGTGCACATACCATACCCTGAGAAATTAAATTCAGGGGCCTGATAACTCCAGATTGGGTTTGCACGCTGTGTTTCCCATTCCCCCCAGCACACCTTGTTCCTGTCCTTCACTGCTTATTTCAAGCTGTCTCTTGCTCTGGGTCTTCTTGTGTCAACATTTAACTTTTAACAACAACAGCAGGAGAAGAATGAAGCTGAAGAGAATACACATATTAATAGAAATGGATGGATAAGGTGAACAAGATACAGCTCTTCATACTCCTATGCTTCTCTCCCAGTGTAAAATTTTCACGCTGCCGAAGTGGTGAGTGAGCCTTTCAGGAGTCTGAGTCTCGGTGCACGCTTACAGGCACAGGCTGTTAAAAACCTAAACAACTTGTAAAGTGTCAAAGATATTTATGGGTTCTGGAAAAACTTATTCTAATTCTAGGTCTTGGCATCTATTTTCTTGCCTCATGCAACTGAGCACATTTCTCACAGGAGGCCAGACAGTTTGCTGTCTCTGTCTGTGACTCCTTTCTGGCTTCATCAGTGCCGAAGTGCTGAGCCCACTGGCGCCGGCTGCTCCAGGGAAAACTCTCCACTCACCCCGCCAACATGGTATAGAGCAGGATCCCCAGGCTCCAGATGTCACAGGCTGCATCGTAACCCTGGCGTTTAAGGACCTATGTGAAGGAGAGAGAGAGAAAAATAGGTTAATCTGCATTCCTGAACTTTTAACTTCTGATCTTCAAAAAAGCACTGATTAGTGCTTGTATCTGCTGACACATCCAGGGCTTAACCGCATATCTGGCTTCAACAGGTGTCTGTCTCAGGATCCAAACGTTCAGTAGTGGTGGGGAGCGAGGTGAAGCCCAGGCTGAAATGAGCTGCTTCGTGTTCAAGCCCAGCACATCTGTCACCTCCGCAGCGAGAGAGACGAGTGGGGTTTGTGGGAGGCTTGGGGAGCCTCTCTGACCATCTAACCCACAGCAAAGTGGAACAACGTTTCAGTGTTTTAAAATGTTTCTTAAAAAAAGCTCATTAATACTTTGAAACATATCCTCCTAACATAAAGGTTACCGAGAACACTGTGGATGCAACAAGCATAGGGCTGAGTGACAGTGATAAGCACGTCTGAGCTCAGTTGGGATTTGATACAACAAATGGATGCACATTAACGCATATCTAATGTCAGACTAGTAAAGAAGTATGACAACTGCAAAGAAAGCTAAAAGGCTTATTCTTATCTTACTTCTGTATTAAGAAAAGCATCCACATTTAGTCTGGGCTTAACAGATAACAGGCTAAAACTCAATCCCTTTTTCCTATGGGGAAAACAAGATCCATGGTACTCAGCAGAGATCTGACCAGTAGGTTCAAAATTGGTACAGGATGGCGAGTTATAGCAATAAGGGCAAAATCTAGATTTCATTTATGCTACTGCATGCTAGAAGAAATGCCTATTGGAGTCAGTGCAGGTCGAAGTGAAAGTGAAGTCACCAACTGAGACAACATTGCTGCGATGAGGGGAAGAACTTTGTTTCTGTTTGGCTTAGAAAAGCTCAGGGACCACCTCCAGATCTTCCACTTGCTCATAAAAGCAAACTACCCTTCTGTTTATTCAGTTCTGACACACAAGGAGAGTTTTGTCCCCTTCTGATGGATCAGTAGATACACTAATTTTTTTGCAAAGCACATGAAAAAGGAATGTATAAATTCAGCACGTCTTTCTCTGACCTGCAGCCCTATTACCCAGGAGTGATTTCAGCTATCTGAAGTCTCAGAAAAGACCAAGCACTGCTAGGAAAAAACAGTTTCAGAAAATGTTGCCTCGACAGATTTTACAAATGGTGAGTGGTAGGGCAACCATCTGCCAGGTATGCTGCTGAGCTAACATTTGCTACCTGGGAAAAAAAATGGAGAAAAAGCCACAATTCCTCCTGTTAACAAAGCTGGTAAAATCTTGCTTCTGCCTCTCTCTCCTGCACATCATACATATGCTCCCTGGCTGTTTTATTTGTTTCTGTTTCTTTAGTTCCTGCATTCATTCGCCCTCTGTTAACGTTAGTTTTTATGGGAAAAACTTCTTTGCTATTTGACATGAATTTGTTGCTTCTTTCTTCACCTGTGAGACTGAATACCCAGGATTTATCTTTTGGTGTGGCTGTTCTCTCTGCTTCCTGAACAGTTACATTTTCATTGCCATCACTGGCTTCCTCCAATAACCAAGGACAATCAAGTCCAAGGCAAATGACAGAAAAATGGAGCAGTGAGGATATTTAGCGGAGCAGGGTATTAAGCAAGTGGTTACACAACCCCAAAAGGATGGACAGGTGTCTCTGCGTGCTATTGTTCAGTTTGCAGGAACGCTGCTGGATAAGAGGGACATTCGCTGTGTGCCACTGTCTAGGGAAAGCTTTGCTGGCAATTACTTTTTATTGACAGCAGCTTCACCCCATGGACAACGACAGGATCTAGTGAGAGTTAGCAGTAGTGTTGCTGCTGTTTGAAACCATCTCCAGCAGCTCTGTGCAACTGTGGTTAAAGCGAGAACACTGAGCTGGCAGGAAAAAGTGTGGGAAACCGTGGCCAAAAAGATTAGTGTTTGATCTAGGGAGCAGATATTATCAAATACTAATGGGCGTGTGTCTTAGAAATAA